CAAAGCCAAAAAATAAAAATAAAAAAAAATAAATGAACAGGTTTCTGAAAACCAAAGCTTGAGAAGTAAATCTGCAGGAAGTGTCAGAGGGGTCCCTTTGTCGACCTCATATGCTTGGAGGGGGTGGACAAATGGGGGTTTGCAGACAAAGGGGAGGCCTCAGCTCATGGTCTGTATAAACCATCCCACTTGTTGGGCTGCAAAAGTCACTCTTTTGGAGCTGAACAGGGAGGGGTGGGGTGCCTGTGGTCCAAGTACCAGAGTAAGGAATAAATCTGCACTGTGGTGGGAGAAGACAGGATCTATTAAGCAAGGTACCACTTTTATTCAACATTGAAAAGAGGACAGAAGGCAATCATCCCAGTTTACCAGGCTAGAATAAAACCCCTGCCCAGTTACCTTCAATCAGGGGCTTACTATGTGCGGAACAACATTCTGAACTCTTTTTTTTAGTAATTGCTTCTTGTTGTTATGTGTCCTGGAGTCGGACCCGATTCATAGCGACCCCTCCTTTGGTTTCTGAGGCAGTATCACTACAGAAGTAGATTGCCCCATCTTCCTTCCGAGGAGTGGCCGGTGGGTTTGAACCCCCAGCCTTCTGGTTAGCAGTCAAGAGCCTTAGGCATTAAGCTACCAGAGCTCCTAGTAATTGCTTAGCCAAGATTTAAACTTGGGATTCAGAATTAACATTTCCCTTGTAAGCACTCATAACCACATGAGAAAACGATATGGAAAAAACAGAAATATCATTGTAAAAGAAACGTAGAAAGTTACCCTAAGAAAAGATTTTGCTGCCAACCAACGGTTGATGATTCAAACCCAAAAACCACTCCACAGGAGAAAGATGTGGCAGTTTGCTCCCATGAAAATGGACAGCCTTAGAAATCTTATTGGGCAGTTCTACTCTGTCCTATAGAGTCACTAAGTCAGAATTGACTCAATGACAATGAGTTTGATTTTTTGTTGTTGTTGCTTACTTTTGGTATAGCCCCTTGACCCCCAGCTTCCCTAAAAGCTTCTCTTTGAGTCTGTACCATTATCTACAAGTCCTAACATGCCTAGAGAGAACAAGGCACTATGAATCAGAATTCTTCCTGTGAGTTAAGTAGTACAACTAGAATCCATAAGAGATTCCACTTGTGTCCATAAGAGATTGAAGTCAGAATCTAGAGTACCACTAGATTCCATAACAAATTTGCAGTATAGTGAATTGCTTTTACACAGCCTTTCTAGACATGGTCTTGTAACTCCCACAGAATGATTGGTTGGGACTATGCAAATAAAGTATGTAAAACTTGCAGATATTGGATGGTTTCTATGACTATGCAGATAAGGTGACTATGGCCTACCAAGGGGATTGGACAGTTTTTCCACGCTGCTAGGTTTTAAAGAGCTAATCTGACAGAGTTTCAGGGGGTCCTCAGTACTATCAAGAAGAAAAGTCTGGAGCACAGCATGTCCTTTCAACCAAGGACAGGGGGTCCCTGCATTGAGAACCTCCTAGACCCAGAAGAAAAAGTGAAGACTGAAGATGGTGAGAGACTGCAGAGGTGAGCCTGAGAGGCCCATGGAGTTAAGTGCTGAGTGCTTCTGGGCAGGAGGCTTGCCCATGTAACTAAAAGAGTTATGACACTTGCCTGTGAAAAGCAGAGGTCAGAATATGCCCTAGGCAGGGGTTGTCTCAAAGGGGTCTTCCTACAGCAGGATGGAGTTGTATGCCTCTTGGAAGGAGGGTTGTCAGCAGAACTAAAGGAGCTGTAACACTTGTACTGGGCAAGACAGGCCCGAGTGTGCCTTGTACAGGGGCTGCATACCTCCCCACAGGCGGTGGGGGCCTGGGTAGCATGATGGGAGCCTGCAGCAAAGGCTTAGATAAGCCCAGTGGCAGAGGCTCAGGAGATCCTGTGTAATGGTCTTCTGGTTGGCAGTGAGGGACAGCAGGGCCCAGTGGCAGAGCAGAAGCCTCGGGAGCTAAAAGCATGGTGGAAGACAGAAGCAGCAATGATATGGAAGCAGCAACGATATGAACACAGCATCTGACTTGAACCATGGTGCACCTGGCTGGTGTCATAAGATGGACATGGTAATCCGGGGAGGACTAAGAAGTTCTTTGGGAATCTGTTGTTACTGCTTAATGTTTGCTTTCTATAAATATAAACTTTGCTAACACTGTGTAAGCGTCTCCTGGGTCCATCTCAGTCACAGATGAACATGGTACACATAGAATGGTAGATGCCAGTGAGTGTATGTGTCTCGTTGCTAGTAGTCTAATGGCTACCAGGAAGTTTGAAGCACTGCCTGTCTCCATAAGCAATGCAGACAGACAGACACGTACATTCAAAATTCAAGTCAAAAAAGGTATTTAGTGGACCACATATTCCTAATTCCAAACTATTAATAAACCAGAAACTACAGAAGGAAGAGTGAGTTACTGTTTTGCAGTAACATTTCAGTCTTATTCTGTGCATCCTCTTTTCTCAGTTGCAGATACCAAATAAAGATTAATCAAACTACATAGTTCGCAAAGTAACCCACAGAAGGTCAATTGTATTCAGGTCAGTTACCTTCCAAGAAGATGTTCTTTTTGACTAGATTTTTTTTTTCCTAGTATCAAACATTGTATAAGAAGTATTCTGTTGGTTGAAGTTCCATGTATCATGCATATTTTCAAATTTTGCATACTGCAAAACGAAATAATTTGGAAGTCTTTTTTAATCATTAGAGTTCACAAAGATACAAGAAGTTCTTACCTCCTTGGGGAAAAAGGGTCCAAGAATAGAGTAACACATACTGGAACCCACATTAATGGATGCTGCAGATATCAACGTAAACAGCTGCTCTCTTGATAACCGCCTGGTGGCCTCTCCTTCAGTTTCTGGAGGGTCCTCGCCTTAAATGCAAACATGCGGCAATTTTATCAAGGAGCTCTGGTGGTGTAGTGGTTAAGGCACTTGACTGCTTAACCAAAAGGCGGGTGGTTTGAACCCACCAGCCCATCTGTGGAAGAAAGATGAGGCAGTCTGCTTCTGTAAATGCTTGCAGCTTAAAAAACCCAATGGGGGTCACTATGAGTTGGAATCGACTCAATGACAGTGAGTTAGAGTATTTGACTTTGGAGGGTCTCGGGAGGAGTCCCTGGGTGGTGCAAACTCTTTAAATGCTAGAAAGGTTGGCAGTTCAAAACCACACAGAGGTGACTGGGAAGACAGGCCTGGCGACCTGCTTTAGAAAGGTCCCAGCCTTGAAAGCACTAGAGAGTGCATTTCCACTCTGACAGACATGAGGTCACCACGACTCGGCATGGACTGGACAGCCACACACAACAACAAAGGGCCCTAGAGTTTGCTCTTGGCTACTAACCAAAAGGTTGGTGTTTTGAACCTATCCAGGAGTATTGTGGAAGAAAGGCCTGGTAATCTGCTTCTGTAAAGATTAAAGCCAAGAAAACCCTACGGAGAAGTTTCACTCTAACACATGGAGATGCTAAAAGTTGGAACTGATTCAATGGCAAGGGGTTCTGGAACTGGGACTAGTGATTAAAAAGTAGGCAGTTATCATTTCAGTGTACAGGAGAACATGTGCTGAGCTAAGGGGCTATTCTGAAAACAGTACATTAGATCAAATGTAATATAATTTCTGTACACAGTTGCAATTTTTTTTTAAATATGTATTATTCACTATTTGAATTTCAAAGTAGAATTTATCAAACCATCTGATTTGTCCTACCTTCACCATAAGGTCTTTTTCTTTTGTCTTTAATAAATCCCTTCAAGAAGGATAAGCAGCAGGATGATCCCCAAAATGTATTTATTCTCTAAAACTATAATCCCCTCATTATTTTTTCAAGTTACTACATTTATATAAGGAGCCCTGGTTGCACAATGGTTAAGGCTCGGCTGCTAACCAAAAGGTTGGTGGTTTGAACTGTATCGCCAGTGGTTCTGAGAGAAGACTTGGTGATTTGCTCCCTTAAAGATTCCCCCTAAAAAACCCTACTGCCATCAAATCAAGTCAATTCTCACTCATAGCAATCCTATAGGACAAAGTAGAACTGTCCCTCTGGGTTTCTAAGGCTGTAAATGCAGGCAGAAGCATCTTTTTCCCTGAAACCACCAAACTTTTGGTTAGCAGCCCAGTGCTTTAACCACTATACCACAGAGCTCCTTCCCTTAAAGATTACAGGTTAGGAAATCCTGTGGGGCAATTCTACAATGTCCTGTAGGGTCCCTATGAATCGGAATCAACTAGACAGTACATAGCAGCAAGCTTCATATGCTACATGGAATCAACGATGTTTTAAGTGTTTATTGTGAGCTGTTTCTTAAGCATTCTAGGGCAGTACTGAAGTCAAACTAAAAACACCAAACCCACAGCGCTCGAGTTATATCTGAATCACAGCGACCTCTCTCCTTGGGTTTCGAGGCGCTATCACTAGGAAACTAGATTGCCCAACCTTCCTTCCCAGGAGTGGCTGGCGGGTTTGAACTGCCAGCCTACTGGTTAGCAGTCACGTGCCTTAGGCACTACGCTACCAGAACTCTGTGAAATGTAAATCATTCAATTGGTGAATTCATACCTAGAATGGTACACTCTTGGAAGACAAGTTCCACAAATCCATAAACGAATACATTTTTAACATTGATTACTTGTCTTTCGCATCAATTCATTTGGAAAAGACAATCTGCGCATCATGAATCTTTGTAAAACTTATGGAATGGATGGAGAAGGGAAAATTAGGGAAAGTTAGCAAGAGGAGGAGCCACTGGAGGTTCTAGAAACGGATCCTTTTACACTCTTGTAATGGCATATTGAATTGCATGTCCTCTTAAACACACAGCTGGAAAATGAAAGCCGTTAGATTATATTGTCTCTGAACTTTAATCCTTCCCAGAAGGTAAAGAAAGCTGGTCCGAAGGACACTTTCAGCCCTAGCCTTTCCGGAATCTCCCAAAACAAAGCAAGTTAAAGCTAATTCAGCCTTTTACAAGGAGTCAGGATCCACCCGCCCGGCGCAGCCAGCCCCGCAGCCTGTGGTTACCTCCTAGGGGGCGTGGACCCTCAGAGCCCCTCGGCGCTTCCATGTGGCGCGCGCACTCTGGCGCCGCCGCTCCCAGGCCCAAGAGTTCTCAGACTCGAGTCCCAGGGAGAGGGCGAGCGGACACCGCTAGCAGCTGCCCAGCCGGTTCCCGCATCCCCGATGCGGCTCACAGGCAACGTTCAGGCCCAAGCTCCCTGCAACCGGCAAGGACCCGGATCCGTTCTGGGAGGACCCCGCCCGGCCCAGGGCGAGGGCTGGCGGGGGGCGGACCTGGGGTGTATCGGGGGCGGGGCCTTTTGAGGTCCAGTGGCATAGTGCCTAAGGCACTTGGCTGCTAACCAGAAGTTTGGAGGTTCAAACCCACCAGCCACTCCTCGAAGGAAGGTTGAGCAATCTCCTTCTGTAATGATACTGCCTCGGAAACCCAAGGAGGGGTCACTATGTGTTAGTACGACTCGCGGGCAATGAAATTGTCTGTAACTCTACTATCCTTTTTTATCATTACATATGAGGGAATTAAAAGAGAGAAAGAGACAATCTCATTTCTATGTAGTTTAGCCTCCTTCCACCTTAGAATGAGTGCGATTTATTCTCGCTAAAAAAATGTGAAAGGATGGTTGTGCAGCTCCAAAGTTGTTGATGTTGGGTCTCACAGTCCTCAGCGGCTCATAGCGACCCTGTGTGACAGAGGAGAACTGCTTCATGGGGTTGTCTAGGTTTAATCTTTCCTGGAACTGTGCCTAAGGCATTTGACTGCTAACCAAAAGACAGGCGGTTCTAAACCCACAAGCCTCTCTGCCCGAGGAAGATAGAGCAACTTACTTCCATCAAGATTTACAGCCCCGGAAACCAATGGGGATCGCTATCAGTCGGAATCCACTTGATGGTAGTGAATTTTTTTTTTTGTTTTGTTTTGTTTTGTTTGTTTTTGTAATCTTTATGGAAATAGAAGTTAGGTTTAAAAAAAAAAAAAAAAAAAAACCCTCACTGTCCTGGAGTTGATTCGATGCACAGCGACCCCTCCTTGGTTTCCAAGCCGGTATCCGTAGGGAAGTAGATTGCCCAGTCTTCAGGGAGTGCCTAAATTCAAAGACTCAAATACCAGTTAGAAAATTAGGCTCATACCGAATTCTTTGAAGAGTGCATAACACCGTAGGTAAATGGGGTAGTGTTTGTATTCGCTGAAGCCATACATTGGGAAACTGATAAATTAACTAATTCCAAACACCTAGAGTAAATAACTGTTTACAAGAATTATTGTGAGGATATAGTGAAGTGCTAGGAGTACAGCTCCCTGGAGGCAGATGCCTGGGTTTCAATCCAGGGTACTTCCCAGGTGTGCATGACCTTTGGGCAGGCCACGAGGTATTAGCTTGCCCTTCTGTACAATTGTGATTACAATGCCTATCTCGTGGGATGGCTGTTAGTGATAAGTGCTTGGCATGCGGTTGGCAAACCAACATGAGAGTTGCTGCCTTACTTTCACACTCAATTTTCTAGTGTGAAAATAAGTGCAATTTACTTTTACCAGCTCTCTATTATCTGGGAGGGCTAACATTTCAGAGACTGGGAAATCCTTGATTTGGAGCCAAGCCAAAACCAAGACTACTGAGTTACTCCCTTGTGCCAAAAAAATAAAATAAAGTAAAATAAAACATTTCCATAGAATTAATTCCAACTCATAACCACCCCCATCGGGTTTCCAAGATGGTAAACCTTTACAGAAGTAGATTGCCTCATCTTCTTTTCACAGAGAAGCTGTTCCGTTTGCATCATGGACCTTCTGGTTAGTAGTCAAATACCTTCCACCTCAGCTCCTTCCCCTTGTGCCAGGCACTGTGAATTTAATGGTGAATAAGCCCCATCCAGCCCCTCTGCCCTCAAATAGCACAACTTCTTCTAGCAGATAAAACAGACACTGATCAATAACTGACTAGAATCAGTGGGTTAAAAGCTGTCATAGAAACACATTGGAGGGACTGTTTACTTTGTCTGAATAAGTCCAGGATGGCTTCTTGAGGAAGTGATGTTACTTAGGGTCTTGAAAGATGAAAAAATTTCTGGGTGGGCAAGTAGGTAGGGAGAGCCTTTAGGGCCATTTCTAACCAGAAGTATTAGCTCCAGCAAAGGCCCTGCTTAAGGTGGCTTTCCAGAGCCTTTATGATCTGACCACTGCCAGCTTCTCCATCTCATTTAACTCTGTGCTCCTGATTCCTCTCTAATTGAGCATCAAAGTACAGAAGAAAATTTCCTTTAATTATTTCTTTCATGGTTAACATTGTCTTTTTTTCCGGAAATTTTTTATGCAGATATTGGGTCACCTAGACAGTTCTCTATTTTTTACTCTTTATTTATCCGACTTCCCCCTTGCTCTTTTTATTTCACTTTGTAGGAAGTTTCTGCAAATTTATTTTCCCCTGCTTCAACTAAATTTTTAATTCTATTGTCGTCTATTTCCCTCTGTCCCCATTCCCATTCCTATCCCTGCATTAGCAATCACTCTTGCATGTTGAATGCATATCTTTTGATTTGCATCCATTCTCATAAAATGTATATTTTTGTTTTGTGTCCATGTACTTTTAAATTTACATAGAGTATTTGTATATCTCACAAACACCCTTTATGTAAATTTTAAAGATATATTAATATTTCTATCTTCTTCTCTACTTCCAACTTCCACCTCCAAGACGGTCAGTGTTATAGCTGAAAATATTATTGGAGCAGCTTCCTGTGCCTGCCGTAACAAATCACCACAAACTTGGCTTAAAACACCAGAAATGTGCTCTGTCTTAGTTCTGGAGGCCAGAAGTTCAACATCAGTTCACTGAGCCTAAAGCAAGGTGCCAGCAGGACCATGTTCCCTCTGGAGGCTCTGGGGGAGAATTTCTTCCTTGCCTCTTCCAGCTTCCTGAGGCTGTCAGTGTTTCTTGACTTGAAACCATACCAGTCCAATCTCTGCCTCCATACTCACATTGCCTCCTCCACTTCTCCATGTGTGATTTTCCTGTGCTACTCTCTAATAAGGATACTTACGATAGTGTTTACGGCCCACCCAAATAAGCTGCCACTACTCATTCATCAGTTTGTTGTACTGTAATAGCTTGCGTGTTGCTGTGGAAGCTATGCCACAGATATTTCAAACACCAGCAGAGAACAAACAAACAGGAAAAAACCAAACTCACTGCTATTGAGTCAATTCAACTCATAGCAATCCCTCCTTGGGTTTCCGAAGCAGTATCTCTATGGAAGTGTTATTGTTATGTGCCGTCGAGTCGGACCCGACTCCTAGCAACCCCTCCTTGGGTTTCTGAGGCAGTATCACTATGGAAGTAGATTGCCCCATCTTTCTTCTGAGGAGTGGCTGGTGAGTTTGAACCGCCAGCCTTCTGGTTAGCAGTCAAGTGCCTTAGCCACTATGCTACCAGAGCTCTCATTTGCAGAAAACAAAAGGTCATTAAAAAGACAGAAAACAAAGAAAAGACCAAAATGGACGTCAGAAGAGATTCTGAAACTTGCTCTTGAATGGGGAGTAGCTAAAGCAAATGGAAGAAATGACAAGACAAAAAAGCTGAACAGATGATTTCAAAGAGCAGCTCGAGAAAACAGTCAATTATAATGAAATGTGCAAAGACCTGGAGTTAGAAAACCAAAAGGAAGAACACACTTGGCATTTCTCAAGCTGAAAGAATTAAAGAAAAAATTCAAGCCTCAAGTTGCAATACTGAAGGATTCTTTGGGCAGAATATTGAATGATGCAGGAAACATCGAAAGAGATGGAAGGAATACACAGAGTCACTGTATCAAAAAGAACTGGCTGATGATCATCCATTTCAGGAGGTGGCATATAATCAAGAACCGATGGTACTGAAGGAAGAAGTCGAAGCTGCACTGAAGGAATTGGTGAAGAACAAGGCTCCAGGAATTGATAGAATACCCATTGAGATGTTTCAACAAATGGATGCCCTGCTGGAGGCACTCACTTGGTTATGACAAGAGATTTGGAAGACAGCTACCTGGCCAACTGACTGGAAGAGATCCATATTTGTACCCATTCCAAAGAAAGGTGCCCATTCCCACAGAATGTGGAAATTATTGAACAATATAATTACTATCACATGAAAATAAAATCTTGCCGAAGATAATTCAAAAATGGTTTGACAGAGAACTTCCAGAAATGCAAACTAGATTCAGAAGAGGATGTGGAATAAGGGATATCATTGCTGATGTCAGATGGATCTTGGCTGAGAGCAAAGAATACCAGAAAGATGTTCACTTGTGTTTTATTAACTATGCAAAAGCATTCGATTGTGTGGATCATAACAAATTATGGATAACATTGAGAAGAATGGGAATTCCAGAACACTTAATTGTGCTCCTAAGGAACCCATACATAGACCAGGAGGGTGTTGTTTGAACAGAACAAGGGGCTATTGCATGGTTTAAAGTCAGGAAAGGAATGCATCGAGGTTGTATCCTTTCACCATAATTATTCAATCTGTATGCTGAGCAAATAATCCAAGAAGCTGGACTATATGAAGAAGAATGCAGCATCGGGATTGGAGGAAGACTCATTAACAACCCGCAATATGTAGATGACACAGTCTTGCTTACTGAAAGTGAAGATGGGTAGAAGCACTTACTGATGAAGATTAAAGACTACAGTCTGCAGTATGGATTACACCTCAACGTAAAGAAAATGAAAATCCTCACAACTGAACCAATGAACAGCATCATGATAAATGGAGAAAAGATTTAAGTTGTCAAAGATTTCATATTATTTGGTTCCATAATAAACACCAATGGAAGCAGCAGTCAAGAAATCAGACAGTGTATTGTACTGGGCAAATATGCTGCAAAGTGTTAAAGATGAAAGATGTCTCTTTGAAGACTATGGTGCACCTAACCCAAGCATGGTATTTTCAACCGCCTATGTGTGTGAAAGCTAGACAATGAATACGGAGGACTGAAGAGGAGTTGATACTTTTGAGTTGTGGTGTTGGCGAAGAATACTGAAAGTACCATGGACTGCAAGAAGAATGAATAAATCTGTCCTGGAAGAAGTACAGCCAGAATGCTCCTTAGAAGCGAAAATGGCCAGACTTCATCTCACCTACTTTGGTCATGTTGTCAGTGGGGACCATTCCCTGAAGAAAGATATCATGATTGGTAAAGTGCAGGGGCAGCGAAAAAGGGGAAGACCCTCAACGAGATGGACTGATACAGTGGCTGCAATGATGGGCTCAAGCATAACAAGGATTATGAGGCTGGCGCAGGACTGGGCAGTGTTTCTGTCTGTTGTCCCTATGGTTGCTATGAGTAGGAGCCGACTTGACGGCACCTAACAACAACAAGCCTAAGGCACTTGACTGCTAACCAGAAGGCTGGGAGTTCAAACCCACCAGCCACTCCTCGGACGGAAGATGAGGCAACTACTTCTGTAGTGATACTGCCTTGGAAACCCAAGAAGGGGTCGCTATGAGTGAGGTCCGACTTGATGGCATATAACAACAACAACATCATATATGAGGAAACTAATAGTTTATGAATAACTAATTATAAGCCAGCAGCATAGGCCATTTATAAAGCAAACCCTAAACTAACATTAAAATTATTCACTTGTGATAGAAGGTGGGCCCAACTGTGTAAGACTCCAGACTTCAATGCCGCTTCATATAGAGTAGCTCTGCTGTTAGTCTGTTGAACGTTTCTTTTGAAAAAAATGGGTTCTGATGTTCTAAAATGTGTTTGATAACTGCAGTTCTCATTACAGAATCATTGGAATGAAGCTAGGAACACCGGTCCAGGGTTTGGACACAAGCTCTAACGTTTTTTGACTCTAGCCTTTAACAAGCTCTGGTGATGTAGTGCCTAATGCATTTGACTGCTAACCAGAAGGCTGGTCATTCAAACCCACCAGCCACTCCTCAGAAGGAAGACTGGGCAATCTACTTCCTGAGAGAAACCGCCTCAGAAACCCAAGGAGGGGTCACTATGAGTCGAATCAACTTAACTGCATTGGGGTCCCCCCCCCCGACAAGATACTTCTGGTCGCTGGGCCTCAAATACCTTATCTGTAAAATGAAGGATGACACTGAATGAGATGCTCTTAAATAATAGTTTTAGCATGGACTTCTTATATTGTCACTTTGAAACACTAACTTGAACTTTTACCAAATTTTGAGCTTATGCTGCCTG